TCACTTCGTGATACATGTAAATCATTTCCGATTTATATGTTCGTTCCCGTGATTTATAATTTACTATTTTACACTACTAATAAAGAGAGTTTCAGCCAGAAACCTTACCCATGATTCCCAAAAAACATTTTTTCCTTACAAGAAATGACCACCCACCCTCTCTTAGAAGTTTACATCCATTTTTTATATTAATATAGAGGGTCAAATTTCATTGGTAAATCTGCAGGTCACACATATAATCGTGTAGTTATCCACAAAAAATATCTGCAAATTTCGTGAAACCTCAGAATATCCAATTTTTATTGGTGGGTTGGTGCGTGTTATCCTTATTTAGAAATCTATTTGGCGATCGCGGATAACTACATGATAATGTCACACATGAAAAAAATAAAGTTTGACCATTCTTATTTTTGTGTGCTCTTTGAATTTTCATGATAGATTAATATCCTTATAATTTTTCATATTGTTAGTCAGTAATCAAAATAAAAATTCACTACAAAATATAGATACATTTCTTCAGAATTAGAATAATCTCTCTCATATTCAATTTCATTATCTTCTAGTTTTTTTTTTGTTTGGCTGCACAGAAATTTTGGGAATATCAATATTGTTTAAGTGCTGGGTTCTTTTTCATTTTAAATATTTTTATTAGAAGAAAAATTCGAAAGAGAAAATTTATTTTTTAGGAAAAGAAATAGTTTGTGATTTAATTTTTGCAAATGAATTATTGTGGTTTGCAAAATATATAGTTGATTTTTTGCAGATCTGTGTGACCCATGATTTTTTTAGAAAAATTTTATTGTCACGAATGATAAATATTATAAAAACTTTTAATTTTAATATTGTTTAATTTAGTTTTTTTATGAACTTTTCCTAATTAGACTCTATAATATAATCTATTGAAATCTCAAATGTGGTTGAATATAAAATATTTAGTGAAAATTAAGAAAAATTATATATATATATTTTTTTTTCAATTGAAATTTTTGAAATTTCATTGATCCCTCCCCAAAACTACCTATTTTTTGTGAACTTTCCTAATTAGTATATACAATAAAATATATCAAAATTTCAAATGTGGTTAAATGTAAAATATTTAGTGAAAAGTGAGGAAAACCATGTATTTATTGTTTCTTTTCAATTGAACTTTTTGAAATTTCCCAAAATTAGCAACTAGAGCTCCGAAACGGGTCGGGTTTGACCCGGGTCAACATCATGTTATAATTGTCTTTAAAAGTTCAAATTTATTTTTGAAACTAGTATAGATACTAATAAAT